TCACTAATAGAATGGCATGGTGAACATTTTATAGTTACAAGGGGGGGGAATTTGGGAAATGGAGCTTTCATTTCTTTGGCGCACACGCCCGCAACCATCACGAACCCCCTGATCGTTGGAATAACGGCTCCGCCCCACCGCTCCTGTCGACGGCTAGTTTGACTTTTCTTAATCTTCACGTTCAAGTGATTCTCAACATTTTTAATAGAAAAGAAAAGGAAAAATTCAAAAAAAATTACGGTTAAATTTCAAATTCTAAATTAGTATTGGTTATTATACTCATAAACAAAAACTACATTCGAAAAGTAAATAAACAATATATTTTTATAATAATTTCTGATTTGAAATTTTAAAATTTAATAATTATTTTTTTAGGATTTTTTCATAGAAAAATGCCTCTTCAGTATCAGAAGAAATTCTATTTGAAGCATTGACTCATTAAATATGAGTACCTCTCTAACAAAAAAATTTAAATATTAATTCATTAAGTTGGGGGATTAACTCTTCTATTAATTATATAAAAATTTTAATACTGTAATTTTTTTATAACTTATCTGTTGATCATTTGATTTGACAATGTGATTAAAATTGCAGCGTTGTGGGTTGTATACGGCCATAATCTGCCAAGTGTGTGGGGTACTACGTAGTCTTAAAAATGGGTATGCGAGGATTATCTACGATTCTGTGGTCAGGCGCATAAGATTTTTTGTGTCCTAGATAAGAAAAATAAGCTTTAGTCAAATAAAATATCTTTATCATTACTTCTCTATAATATTATTTCTAATTCTTGGTATAAGAATTCATTTAACTTTTATTTTAGTCTAAAATATAATTAAAATTCCAATCCACTTTGTCTTTCATATTTACATCTTTTTTTAATAGTCCTTATAACGATGATAGTTCTGGCCAATACCACAAGATAGTTTTAAAAAGTAGCTATTCAATCGTCACTGACAAAAATATAAAGTAAGCATGTGATCAGAGTTTTATCTTGATTACATGAACATGTTATAAACACTTAATATATGGAACTCCAAATAACTGAATGAGTTCTAAGAAAGTTAAATAAATTAATTCTAAAGAAATATGATATAATCTTTTAAAATGTGAACTAGTTACCAACAAAATGTTTCTCTAAAAAAATCAATAAAAAAAACAGTTTATATATATATAAATATAATATCAACAGTTTTCCCCAACAATACTTTCCAATTAATACAACGTAGGCGAACCAAACCAACAATGCGTACCCTGGACATTAGCTTGTAACGCAACAACTGCAACCACCAAACTATGTGAAGTGAAGTGAAACCAAAACCAAAGCTATATGGTATTTGTCGGCCCTATCTTGCTTCTTCTTTTTTTTTTTTTGACCAGCATCTTGGCTTCTCTACTCCGTCAATAAACATAAAAGAGAAGATGGTGATTGCTATTAATGAATCATTCTTCTGAAGTCATAAATGTCGCGTATTATATTAACAACTTTGTTTCCACTCCATAAACCAAGAAAATTCACAATTGATATAGCACCGATCACGATATAAAACCTTTGCGTAGAGAAATGCATTGAATATAACTTCTCATTATTATCCATTTCAGTACGCACAATTATTGTCCTCGGAATCCAAAGCATCTTTCAAATAAAACGTAGTTGTTTCTCCTTAAATTTATGTATAATTTGAATCAAAGTCCTGTCATTAAATGAAAGAATAAATTTCCAGAATTCTAATTATTTTTTTACCAAATTCGTACTATCCCAAATATACTCCCTCCGTCCTTATTATAAGAGACAAATAACCGAAGTACGTTGATAAAAAAACAGGTTAAAATTAGTTAAGAACAATTAATGTGTAAAAAGTATAATTTTTTTCCAAAAATGCCCTCATTAATAAGGAGAGAGAGCATGAGAGAGAACAATTAAATTATTAAAAGAAAGAGAAGTGAGAGGGAGAGAGAGTGTGAGTTGAAGAAATAATATGGGTAAAATAGTAAATTAACACAAAAAAGTAGAGACAACTTGTAAGTGTCTCTTATATATAGGAACGTGCCATAAAAGCATCAAATGTCTCTTATAATAAGAAACGGAGGGAGTATATATTGTCATGATAGTGACATACACTATCAGATTCTAATTATTTTTTTTATCAAACTATTAATTTCTAGAATTCTAATTTATCGATGGACACAAAGATGTAAAAAGAACGTATATAATTTGAGCTCCAAGAAATTGTACTCGAAATAAATTGTTCAAGTCAGGTTTCATTGAACGCAAGGTAGACCTATCTTGTGCAGATGATGATAGAACAATTAAACCTCAAATTCTCTTATCTCTCTCTCTCCCTGCTGTCGAGAGAAAATGGTACGTTGATTCCGTTGGATGATCACTATGATAATCAAGAGTTGGAATAAGACACGACATCAGGAAGGGGCAAAAACAAATAAGTTAGGATTATTGGGCCAAAGGGGGAACAACTGAAGCATAGGAGGACATGGGATAATAATGGGTCGCAGGAATAATAAATTTTACGATAATGTTCATGGGAAGCCATGGAAAGTGACAGAAACTGCAGAGAGAGAGAGAAGGGGGGGTAACGAGTTCATTGAGTTGTCTCATATATTGGAATATCTCAAGAAATCCGCCATTAGGCGGGAATTTGGCAGCATTAATATTACCCGGATCGTTTATACTTCTCTGGTCTTATTTAATAAGTAAAGAGAATGAATTTTTTAATCTTATTTATAAGATTGAGGGACAAACATTTAACATGAACATATAATTTATCTTTAATTTATTATTTTGTTGATTTTGTTTTCATAAAGTATAATATATAAAAATAGGAATTAAATTGAACAGTTATTGAATTTAATTTAAATGAGAATTAATGAAATTTAAGATTTTTCTTTATCTATATGAAATATGTTGAAGGTGACTTGTTAATAAAACTAGAGGAATAAGTGTTTGCGATATGCATTATTGGCAGATATTCAGATTGTTTGGTTAATTACTATTACACATGTTGACCGCCCAAGACTAGTTAAGATTAAAAAAATTAGGGTTAAGGTAATATCTTACTAACGTAAAAGAAAAATATCACTCATATTGACACGAAAAAGTTATGATTGGTTCGAAAGAAAATATCTTATACAGTAGTATATTGAATAATATCATTATAATAAGAAATCTTTTTTTCATTTTATTTTATCTGTGGACTGAAACTGGAATTGAAGAGTTATGCGTGGTCCATACCTTGCCTGGTAGAAGAATACACACTCTTGTCCGATTGATTTACGTTTGTGTCTGGACTCGGCATGTGTTAGGCCGCAGATGCCATACCTATGCTGTATCAATACTAGGAAAATTATGATACACACACACACACGCAAACATTATCAACGATTAAGACGATAAGGTGAGATTTCTGCCCCCCACCCCCCCCAAAAAAAAAAAAAAAAGACGATAAGGTCAGACAAATAAAACCAGCTAGTTGTAAGGTCTGTGTAATTGAAATCAGATAGACAGACACCTTACCTATAGCTATTAAATGGAATCCACAAAACCATGCGTGTTTCTTTCTAGCTAGTTTAGCGTCCATATGGTACAGAACAGGAGCGAGAAAGGAATAACAAAATCTCTCTCACAAACATGATAATTTTTACCTTCAAGAAGTCATTTTATCATGGAAAAATCACTATCTGGTCCCAATGAAATAATATAATCATCAAAAAAGTTCCGATGACAAATGACTGATATGGAAATTGTTTTCATTCTCTACATTATTAGAACTTGTTATTAATTGATTATGCAGCTTTTTGGTAATTACATTCTTTTTTTAGAAAACATAGTGAATTTCCCCGTTATTATCTACTATAAATCAATATAATATTTTTTTCTTATTTCTCGTTCCTGAAATACAATGAGTTAAGAGTTGGAGTTTAATAAATGATATCTAACAATCTACAGCAGACTTGGTGACCCACCTAATGAGATAAGAATTGTTTTTGCACACAGGTGAGAGTTGGAATGAGATGAAGGATAATGATTCTGAGGTACAGGTATGGACAAATGAAGAACAGCAAGAGATATAAGATGGAATGGAAGGGATGATTGAGGAACCAGGCAGGATGGAGCAAGGTACAGAGGGAATTAAATGAAAAAGGGGCCCTCACAGAGGAATACAGAAAACTAGACTTACTGAGAGGCCATAAAAATCAGAAATGCTCCTAGTCGTTTTCCAAGCAGGGAATCCAAAGAAGGTAACATCATTAAATGTTTTTGTTCCCATGTGAAGATGTCGTACGCCTCCACCTCCCCACTGGCGTTGAAATCCTTGCTTCCATAAAAAGACATTACCTGCAAAATAGGATGTTTTCTTCCCCGGCTCTCTCTTCTAACACCCTGCATCCCACAAATACAGACATCTTTCTCTTCCTTCTTTGACATTCAAGTAACTAGATTCCATCACGAGTTTAACTATACCCATACACGAGTTAATTTCATGTGACTGGTTACTGAGTTTGACAAACTTGCAGGAGAAAAAAATTATTTTGTGACTGCTCTAGGATGCTCAAGTACAACCATTTGCATGTTTCCTTGCTAAATTAGATGTGGGACCAATTAGAACTTAGAAGAAGCTAGTCAAAATACAGTGGAGTCATATAATACTTCTTCCCACACGCTTCCGTTGGACATTTTTCATGTGAAAGTGAAATATATAGGCATACCCCTCTTTGTATTTAATGTGAAATCTTACTGTGGTGCCCTTATTAATGTTCACGAGCCTCTTTTGCCGGTACTTCCATTCTTGAATTAAAGTCAAGTTCACTGAAATATGTGCGTGCGTGCGTGCGTGTGTTAGATCCAAGCATCTTTTGATAATTAACTTAATTTCTTTGAGTATCATTACTCTTATTAATGAGAGAGGAGGCTCTGCTAAGAAAATACGGCACCCGCAACCCTTTAATTAATTTTTCTTCTCTAGCTCACTATAAGAACAAAGCCTCTCCATTACATCATTACTTTTATTAAAGAGAGGAGGCTCTGCCGAGAAAATATGCCACCCACAAACCTATTATCTTTCCTCTCTAGCTCACTCTAAGAATAGAACCTCTCGATTACTGTGAAAGCAACCCGGAAAAACAGGGGAGAGTTGGAGGGATGGGAGGAAAGGTTAGCAAGAAAAGGAGGTATTTTTGTGATAGAGAATTTAGGTGTTTGAAAGAGAGAGTGAAGATTCTTCAGGAGGAGATGAAGCAGATGGTGTACGAGAGGGAGAAAGAGAGTATGAGCTATGAGAGGGACATGATGTTGTTCAGTTTTAAAGAGGCAGATTGGAAGCAAGAGAGGAAGAGGCTGAGAGAGGAAGTGAGGAACCTCAGGAAGGTTCTGCAAGAGAAGGAAGATCAGATTAGAGAAATCAAAGAGCTTGGAAAAGACAATGATATCAGCGACAGTAATCATAAAGAGTTGGAATTGATAGGGACTAAGCTTCTGGTTCAGAAAATGAAGGAAGAGAGAGTTTGGAGAGATGAGGCTGTGGAGAAGTGGAAGCAACTCTATCTTGCAATCAAGACTGAGCTTGATGACCTCATTCAGAGAACTTATGGTGGTCTCTCTCGTCCCCTCCCACGTTTCTCTCTCAGATTACCCTCTGCACCAAAACCATATAAGCATATCATATGATGCAGTCAAATTTTGTAGATTCTGTGTTTTCTGGTACTGTGATCTTTCAGTTTTCCTTGAAGCTGAATTCTATCTTCTAGGTTCTAAATCCTTTGTTATATGCTCTGTATTTTGATTCTGTTATGTTTCTCTATAAAAATAATTCTATGAGCTAGAGTTGACAGGTCTGCCTTGGTTTGGTTGAAGAAGATTCCTAAACTTTCTGCAAAACAAGTGATGAACGTTGATGAGTTTATTGATTTGCCAACTTGTTGACAGGGGATGGCTTGTTGCGGAAAGCAGAGGAAGATGAGATCCAGATGGAAAATCTGAAGAGGGAATTGCAAGAAAGGGATGAAACTATCCAAGCCTTGAAAGCTCATTTAGCTTCAATGGAGCGCAAGAAGAACAGAACAGAGACAGAGTTTGACATGTTGAGGCAAAGCTTAAAGATCATGAATGGAAGCAGTATGATTTCTATTCCAGTGAAAGAGAGGCTCTTTAAAACCAAATGTGGAAGATGAAATATTGCAGTCTCTTAATATGCAGGACTGAATAACTGCAGTCTCTTCATAGTACTGGGTTAGATTGTATCTTAGAGCCACTAGCTTTTATTTTTCAGTTCTCTCAGAAAATAAGAGTAAGAAGATGGTTTTACTGAAGAAAAGGTTCCTTCTTGAGCCAACAGGGGAAATCCAATGAGGCAGGTGAACAATTTTGTTCATAAGCACTGTTAAATTTGAAAGAAGGTGATTTAATTTGTCCACTTCTTTATCTTTTTTACTCCGTTTCCTAAGCAAAGCCGAACGAAATTTCATTCCGACAAAAAGGTTGTTATGCTTCTCTTTTTGCATTTGGTGTGATTCACTCTGCAAGTACATTATGAAAATGACATGGATTACAGAGTTAACAATATCTGGTAAAAGATATCAATAAGAGTTTATCTAATTAGTAAGGAATTGATTTATAACACATAAGGTCATGAGTTTGAATGTCCTGTCAATGTGAGTATCTTATCTTATTAGTAGACGATCTGTAATTACCGTTATAAGCACTCTTCTAAGTTTAAAGGATATGTTAAAAATGGGGTAAAAAATAAAAGTAAATAAACATTAACTTTAACCCTTAGGGTGTGTTTGGCAAGCACCCCAAACCATGGTTTGGGAAAAATGTTAGCCAAACACCCTTAAAAAAATCAAAACCATGGTTTGGATTCAAAACCATGGTTTTGGGAAAAGCAGAAATTTTTTACTTTTGGAGAAAAAAGGGAGAGTGTGAGAGCCTATAGGATATGTATCTTTTGTTTTTTTTAAAAAATTTTTTATAAACATATTTAATCTTATATCTTATAAAATATATACATATTAATTATTTATTAATTATATTATCTTATATATTATTAATATAGGTTAATAAAAAATATATTATTAACAATTTTATTCCTTCAAATTAAAATATATCATAAAATATATTTTTTCTATAATTATCATATTAATTTATGCCAATTTGTATATATAAAAAGTACTTCTAATAACAACTATCCAAACACTCACACTTCTCAAAATCACTTTTTCACAAAATCTATTCTTTCCAAAATCTACTTTTTTCAGAATCTATTCTCCAAACCATGGTTTGGTTTCATCCAAACACACCCTAAGTCTATAACTTTCGATTTAAGAAAACTTGACTCCCAGTTTGTGGCATGCGTGAAAAACCTCGATATCGCAATTAGTTTGAAACAGATGGTATGTTAGGAAAGTTGGTGAAAAATCTTGAGATTTTATTATTTTAAAGTATGTGAAATTTGTTTAGAAACGTAGCTGCGGCCCATCTTCAACCAAATATTGGTTTCACACATCACGGGCATAAATTTCACATATTAATTTCTTCACCTTAATTCTCACCTTATCACATGGATTTCAAAATATCTATTCATTGTCTTGGCCACAAAATCTTCCCATTGGGAATTGAGACATGTCCCTTGTACATATTACTACTATCTCATAATATCATCCCCTTGTTTTTGACAAATTTCATTATCAGTCTATCAGACCATAATCACTAAAATATTGATTAATTAATTTTATTCAAACGTGTTCTTTTAAATATTAATGAATTATTTTGAGTATGCAGAGTTGCTAACTCGTGTCTAAAAATATTTTCTCGGTCAAATACCCCCAAGAAAAATAATTCTTAAACGCAAAGTTAATGTACGGCTCAAAAGTACATGGTAGAGTGTAAGATATGGCATGAACATGAGTTATATGCAGTTAAAAGGGTCAAGGTGCATCAGCACGAAGTATTTTTGTACATCAAGAATCTTCAAGTATTTTCTAGTACATCAGTATCTTGAAATATTTTTTAAGTATATTCAGTACTTTAAAGTTTTTTTTTACCTTGGTGCTAGATGCACATAAAAATATTTTTGGATATTAGACGCACATAAAAAAATGCTTTAGAGTGTTGAATACACAAAGAATACTTCAAGATGTTGAACGCATTTGAAAAAAATATTTTCAGGTACCAGATGTGTCATAAAAAACTTTAAGATACTGAATACACCTGAAAAAATATTTCGGAGTGTTAAATGCATTTTAGTTAAAAATGTTCAGATATGTTTAGTATAATTTTTTCAGGAAAAGAAAAACAAAAATTCAGCTGGTTTTTGTAATATTTCTTGTACTGGTGTGATGTGTCAGTTTTTATGAAGATTCAGCCAACCAAATCACAACAACCAAGCTCTTTGTTTTTCCACACGATTTTCCAATTTTGTGAATTAGCTCTAATTGCGTGCACTTATTTCTTACATTCTTCTTAGAACACAAGCAAAGAGCCAAGCTCTGTAACGATTTCACATTTTTTAAGGATAAGACTTAAAACCGCACCAAACGCATGTGATTTTCAATTAAAATTGGAACGAATTATACTTATTTACTTGAGAAGTGTTTAAATTATTTGATTTTTATTATTTTTTAAAATAGTCATTTAAAAACTTGCAAGTTGCAACCTCGTGGAATTATCTCAAAATTATGAAATGGGTGTTTTCGGCCGGAAAAATAAAAGTGTGATGCTGGGTCTGGCTTTTGCATGTTCATATTTGGGTCTGGCCCATTCTGCTGTCAACTTTTCTTTAAGATATTTTCTTCTTCTTCTCTCTCATTCACCCAAACAGGGGTTAATGTTTTCAAGCATCACGAGTGAAAATTCTGGTTAGATTATGGGGGGAAAAATACAAATTTACAAATTAGTTATTAAAAAAGCTCTCAAATTTATTATTTACATAGTGAAAATTTATTAGTTAAATTGAGAGTATTTAACATTCACATAATGCAGATTCATAACTAAAAATATAAAAAACTTCACAGAGCTCAATGAAATACGTGGGTGAACAAATGAAAAATAAAAATTATTGGATTAATTTTAGATGAGAGTCTACGGCCTCTTTGCTTTTATTAGATTAATTTAAAGTAGTCTAATTAAATTTGGAAATATAAATTTTAATACTTATAAAGAGAGCATTGAATAATTAGTAAATGAATTTTAACTATTGAAATTCAATTTAAACATTTCAAAGCTGTAAAATGGGACCCAAAAAAAAGAGAAGAGAGTGTCCAAAAAAAAATCAAATTGAGCAATAAACGGCCTGTCGTATTTCTTCACAATAAAAATAAAATAATCACTTTTTTTTCCTTCAAAAACACAAAGTCCTTTGTAGCTAGGAACTTATTTCAAATTGCCTATTCGATAATAATTTATGAAATATAATATAAGTATGTAAGAAAAGTTTTATTTCCGCTTTGTCTAATACTTATAAATATTTATTTAAGCGACTTCAATCAAAATATTTGAAACGTCATCATTTAACATGAAACACGAATAAAAAACGATGAAGAAGTAAAGATGTGTGGTTTTGAATTAGAGTCAGCAACTTCGGCTGATCATATCACCACGACACGCCGAGTCAATGATGCTTGCAAGGGACCGACACACGCAGTTGAAGATGATGAAGATTTTATTAAATCACTCGTAATTGTTTAGACCCACTCACACAACCTAATCCACAAGGCAGAAACGAAATCATACAATTGATGCGTACATCTGGTTCGATGGGATAGTTATTCCTTTTAAAGAGGCATTTTGTTAGAATCAATGTATGAGGGTAAATATATGACTTTTTTTATAAGTAGAAAATAAATCTATTTTTGTTGACAGTTTCTTTTACCAATATAAAAGTCCGTTTCATTAATATAAACAAACAAATTGATAGCTGAGTTCAGTCATTGCAAGGCTGGAATGAAATATCATGCATCTGACTACTTTAGATTACATTAAAAAATGATTGTGAATAAAATAAGGGTTGTGCAGTGTGAATAATATCCCTGATTATGCATCTATTGCGCTTCCAACTCCTCATCCAAATGACCTAATTAGTTCAAAAATACTCGTAAACACATTTTATATAAATTGAAATAAAATTTTTCTCACATATTTAGCTCGTATACACTGTTTATAATGTGTTTTAAACATGTAAGCATTAAATGCTGAAAGCAGTCAAAATGGTCATCTAGGGAGAATGTCATTTAAGTCCTAAAATATCGAACTAATTACGTCGAAGGTTATTAAAAAAAAAAAAAGAGCCGTAAGTGTCGATTAAAAATTTCAGAAAATTATAAACCAAGAGTTACATTTTAAACCTAAATATATTTTTTATATAACTCAGGATATCCTCAAACCACTTCAGGTTTGATCATAGTTTTTGTGGGACCAAAAGTGTTAAGGTTAAAACTCTTTCAATAAGTACGTTTTTTGATATTTGAACTTATATCTTTCTTTTTACGAGGATAAAACCGTTTATTATCTCGATTAACACCTCGTTAGTTAAAACTTAAATATTCTATTCACAAACTCTTAAATTTATGGTTGTTTCATATTCACAGCTCACCCCCCCCCCCCAAAAAAAATCATCGGGATCTAATAATCAATAATTATTTCGTTCAAGACTTAGCCGTTATTCCCTCTCTTACTAATAGCATGCGTGTACGATAACCCAAGCACCCCCACAAAGTTCTAGGTTGCTTCCCTTCCCATATGATTTTTGCTTTCAACCCTATGATTGTTATCTGCTCCCTTTTGCAGCTTCTCAAGCTAAATTAATTTAAACAATAATATAGATGTGAAACAATGAAGGGCAGGTCAAGAAGGTGAACAAGGGATAGAGTAATTCTAATCATCTCCAAACCTATACTGTGCCTCGTTTACATTAGGAATTAAATGAACGTCAAATGATTTGTTGTGCTGGTATTAACATCACTTGCTCTGTTTAGATGAAGATTCGAGTTCAGGCCTGCTGGTAATTAGTTTATGTGTCTGTACACGCTTAAATTATATTTGAAAAAAGAAAAGAAGAATAAGGAATTTATTAAAATTGAAGGGAGGTTGATTGAGAAGGGGCTTACATTACACGCTTTGACTTGATAAGATTAGCATTATTGAAAGTAATAATACACTAAGCAACATCTCTTGATCAGGAATCTATCTGGGCCTCAGATCTCATTGGTTACACCTGGCCCTCTCCTCCATCAACCATTTCACCTTAAATCTTAAGGGTATGTTTGGCTCAATGAGAGGAAGGGGAGGGGAGGGGAGTGGAAGGATTTTAATATTATCTTGTTTGGATTTATAAAAAAAGAGGGGGAGGGGAGGGAAAAATATTTTAATATGAACAATTTTGCTCTTATTTTATTTAAGGCATGGGCATAATTGTCACAACATGA